AACGCACTCCACAAAACCTCACTAACTCTCGGCACTCTCTATACTTAGAAGAAAAAATGGAGCTAACTCCCAAGCCTCGCACTTATATTAAGGCCGAACACTAGGGCGGAGAAAATGAGGGAGGGATTTGTCCCATTCTCACGTGAACCATCAAGCCAAATGCCCGGCTAGAGGACAAATGGAGCGCACGGACATTGAGGGGAGAATCTCGAGCAAAAGGACAAGGCACACGCACGGACAAAGAGCGCACGGATACTCACACTCACATGGCACGGCATTATGGACAATGGGACGCGCACCTAGGACACTCCGCCCACTATGCGCGGCATTAGCTTGAGGAAAAATAATCGCCTAGGAACTTGCATGGTGCACGGTCTTCATGACTTGCCTTCGGATTCTCCGCCCACTTCCATCCGCACGGCCTTCTTGGACGACGCACGCACGGGCACGAGCACGGCGTTATGCGCAAGGAAATTGGACCGAGTAATGCACGGCATCTTGTTCGGTTATGCGCATGAACTCGGAATAAAATCTGAACAATTACTAATCTCGTGATTAAGTTATATTAATCACTTAATTATGTCTAATTATCCAATTAAACATAATGCTTAATTACCAAAATTATTTCGAACGTAAACGGTACGTCGAAAATAGTTCCGGTAATTTCGACTGAAATAACTGAAAATAATTGATTCCGAAAAATAATATCGGAACTAAAATATTATTAATACTGATAAAAGTCGGGATATTACACATATGGCATGAAATTATTGGCTAGGAATTTCTTCACCTCTTCATATCTTTGTTCGGTCATATATATATAGAAAGTGTTGGGGAAAATTTTCTCCTACACTCTAGTTGATACTCCTAAGTAAGTATAATTCAAGAGAGTTTAGAGAAGTTTACCTTAAGTAGAGAGTACCGCACGGAGAGGCTATGCGCACGCACGGAGGTGCTTGGTCAAAGGCTTCCGAGAGTGGCGAGCAACTGACCGAGCGATTGTCAAGGTAAACTCATATTGATCTTTTCTCTAAGTTAGTAAGATCATATTCAGCTTTAATCGTACAGTCAAGATCATGATATAGCCTTAAGTTACTCTCGGCCGTGCGAATTAGATCATGTCGAACATGTTCATTTTGATCCGAAACTCTCGAGTAATTTTCATGTATTCAGTCATTACATGCCATATTATGTTCAGCTAATTCATGTTTGTCGAGAGTTTTTCATGTTCGGTCGAGGAATCGGCCTAAAGCCGTAGGCGACGCACGGTGCGCTCGTCACCGACCATCGTAGTCCATCGAGCTAAATTTATGATTTTTTTTTTAAGTATATTCAGCAGATTTGATCATGTCGTGCTAGATCATGTTAGTTCATGTGATAAACGGTCGGAAGAATTATTAAGTGGCCGAACGTATTGGCCGTAGCGTCGGGTCGCGTTGATGCGGAAGTGGCTAGGCAGCTCAAGAACGCCGCAAGTCGAGCCTACCATGCACGCAGGAGACAAGCACGATTGATGGCAGAAGTGCACGCACTAGAGTGTAGTGCGCGCAGAACGGGCGAGAACAGGACGCGCACGGATATACGGTCGGTGCGCACGGATGGCGTGCATGGCGAAAGTGGGCAGGACGCGCAGGCCGCGATGCTGGCCAGCGCGATCGCGGAAGGTCCACGCGGTGAGGAAGCACGCGCACGCGTATCCTCATGCCTTTAGGTGTGCGGAATGGTGGGGAGGCACGCGCGCGAGGAAGCAGCCGGGGGCGGAAGCGCGCGCGATACGCTGGATGGGGGAGGACGCGCGATGCGCTTGACCGTACTCCTAGAGGAATGCAGAGTGGCGGAGCAGCACACGCGCGGTAAGGCGGCCAGCGGCATTGGCGTGCGAGACATGCCGGGCGGGTACGCACGCGCGGAGAAGGAAGGCGATGCCCTATTCCTCGAGGACTAGGGCGTGCGAGGCGGTGCGCAAAAGGGCGGTGCGCGCGAGGGGCCGAAGTGCTTGAGGCGGTTGGAAGACTTGGTTTGCAAGCCAAGATATTTAGTTCCCTTATTCCATTATGATATCTAGCTTAGTTAGGATACTTGATATTTTATTGCTTTCTTAGAGTTATAGTTATATTAGGATTAGATGTATTTGGTGCCTATATAAAGGACCATCCCCCATGTTATTTTTCATCATCCAAGAAGTCAATAGAAATCTAGAACTTTGTTCTCCCAACTTTGCTTTAGTCTTTTCACCAGAATACTATTGCAATTTTATTCGTATCAATAGGCGCGGTTGTGGCTAGAGAAACACTATAGGCGATTCAAGGCGCGGGTTAGCGGCTTATCGACAGTCGAAACACACGATCCTCATCATTGGTGCTTTCATTGAGAGGTGTTGATCGTGTGTTTTTCTTCTACCCCATTCCCTTTCTTTTTCTTTTAGTTTTTTTTTCGTCCCCCTTATAAAAAAAAATAATAAATAAAAAATATTTTCGTTCATCATCATCATCATCATCATCATCTTCAACCACGAGTCCACAAATTAAAGAGCGGAGAGAAGAAAGAAAAGCCATGGCCAACAAAGAGATGAAGGATAAGATCGACAATCTTGACATCCCGATGCGAAGTATGAGCGAGGTTATGGAAGGAAGGCTTGGATCGCTTGACGAAAGTCAAAACAACACCAACGTAGTTGTCACACGACTCGAACAACGATTAGAGGAAGTCTTGCGCGCGTTCCAGCAGCAACCCCCACATCATCGCGACGATCCCCCAAGGCGCGAACCGCGCCAACACGCCGAGCATGCCGAACGCACACCCTCNNACAGCGCACACGCAAACAGGACAAGGACCGGCGACGCGAGGGTTACGAACACGAGGAGGAGTTCGATCAGCGGTCACAGGCGTCCACTTACCGTGAACGGCCGAAGCCCGACAAGCCGAGGTTCGTAATGTCCATCTTCACGGGTAGTAATCCAGAGGCTTGGCTCAACCGAATCGCGCAATATTTTGAACTGAATGAAACCGACGGCCACGATCGAGTAAGGTACGCAGCATTTTATTTGGATGGAGAGGCCAATGTATGGTGGCAGTGGCTCTCAAGAATCTACCGTAGGCGGCAACAGGTCATTACATGGGCTGACTTTGAGAGAGAATTGCTCACTCGATTTGACACGCCCGATTACCATAATTAT